CCATATGTCTGCAATGAAAGGACGAGGATAACAACTCAATGTTTTACACGCCTCTGATTTTGATCCTTATCTGCTATCAAGCTGTTTGTTGCATTACAATATAAGCGGTTATCGCATTAGCACTCATGTTGTCACTTCATTTATACGGGATCATTTTCTGTCTTATTAGGCTCAACTGAATATAGAATTTCAATGTCATCAGCTTCTAGCTGTAAAACTATCATGAATTCAGCAATTTTATATGTCCGCCAGTACTACGTCATTGGACAGCACGGTGACAATAAGCAGAACCTTTTGATTGGCAGTTGCCTCCGGAAGATTCCTAAGCGTAGAAGCCACATAGTTACCTGTATAAGTCGAAATTTTATGGAAGTTCATGTGCATTACTTACTGTCTGGCCGAAAATGGGTAAACTTGTCCGCATCGTTCAAATGAACTAAACGATCCTTCACCGCCTCTGTTGCGGTTCGTAATGCAAGAACATCTAAACATCATAACAAAACAAACACATCCTCTACTTACTCATACTTACCGTCAGAGCAAAGTTTAGATCGCCTCCTCTTCAATGCGGAAGAAACATTGTTTGTTTTGTCCCCAAGCACTGGGATGCAGGAATATGAGCCTAAAACTAGCAATTTCAATCATTGACTTGTTTGTTATCTTTTCAATCATTACCTGCTTCACAAGAAGTGGATGGTCCTGTTGAGGTATCATCTAAATTAAGATCACTATCACTAAAATCCATAGTAGAGAATCTGTTGCTGAAAAGAGAACCTTTTAGTGCTGCAACACCTAAGATCCATAAAACTTACCTTTAAAGAAAATGTCTGCGCTATCCAAGAACTGTTTTTAAAATACGGCATTCCGTCGGATGCGGGAGATCTCGTCGAACCAGCTTTATGTCTCATGTAGGCAGTGCGCATGTTACGCCACATGCGCTTCAACTCGTCGACTGCAAGTAGACATTTGATCAGAAATACATAAAGACTAACACACGGATAAAACTCACTGTTTCGATCATATCCTTTATTTTTCATTTTCACAAAAATTTTATCCCAAGCCATCTTCCGCAGGGCTTTCACTAGTCTTCGGACGTAAGGTCCCACAGCGTCCTCTCTACTTCACAAACGGCACTAACTTTTCACGCAACGTCATTT